GCACCAAAAGTTGGCATACCTTCTGCCTTAAGCTTTCGTCAGATATGACCCAATTGGAGTGCTTCTTGTACCTTTCATCAAAAGCCTCATTGAATGCCTTGAGCAGCTTGTTATCAAAATCCTGGTGATCAAAAGGAAATGAAATTATACCCTTTTGGCTTAGAAGAGGCAGAAGCTTTCCCCAGCTCTCTCTCAAGTAGAGAGCTGCATAATAGTCCTTGTATTTCTCATGAGCTTCTAACCAAGAATCTCCCATTATATCCCCAAGCTGTGTGCCTTTCATTTGGCTGAAATGGCAGTGATTGTTCATCATGAAAAGGTAGGAGAGGGAGATGTCCTCATAGGCCTTGGACCATGCATCCAAATTTAGCCCAACCTCCTTCATGGTACTATAAATCTGATGGGAAAGAACATCATCATCACCATCGTCATACACATTTTGTTTCCAGCTTTGATGGATCTGCAAGACCTGGATCAAGCTTGGCCTATAATCATCTCCTAGCAGTTTATTATAGTAATTAGTTATAAAGCTTACTAGCCCAGGAACGCCACCATCCGAAGGAGGAGAAAATCGCCTTTGCAACTCCACTTGGCTAGGAAGTTCCCAGAAAATCTCACAAGCCCCAATAACAACTCTCTTGATTAAATCCCTTGTCAGGGTTTGAATTTCATCGCAGGCCTTCCCACCAAAGAGCCTGTTAAAATTCAATCTTAGATTTTCCATAACTGTAAATATATCTAATAGCTTCAAGAGCTTGATGGGGTCCTTCTTCATCTTGGTGACATTAGTTCCAAATTGGAGGAATGAAGCAAGTCTAAACTCTTGAGAAATTCTTGCAAAGCAGCGCTTCCAAGCATCTGATCCTACCTTCTCAAAGACATTGTTGCAGAGTTTGTACTCAAGCTCAAGCAGATGCTTCACAACCAACTCCAAATGCTTCCCCCATAGGTCAATGCAGGAGTCAATGCTCTGTCTATCAACAAACTCTGTGATCTCTATCTCAAGGTAGTCCAGATCAAGAGCCTGCAAGCTTCTTCTAGCACTCAAACTCCGAGCTTCAGTGTACACGAATATGCACTTTTCAAGCCGATCAGCCGCATTCAATCTCTCAACTATGGCTTGAAGCTTTTGAATTACAAGCACTGATAATGGTGATGAAGCAATGCTGGTGTGTGTAGTAGCACTGTTTTCCATTAATGAAATTATGAATTCAGCTTCAAGTTCGTTGAATGCATCGTTGAGAAGCCCTCCGTCACGACGAGCAGAACCCTCGATTGCATGCAACTCCTGTAGGAGTCTGAGAGCTTTCTTCACACTCAAGAGGCTTCGATCATTGGCAAATGCATTGCCTTCCAAAAACTCAACAATGTCCTGCAGCCACTGAGTTGCCAGCTCACAGTTGTCAGCAAGAAACCTCAATGCTTCTTCAAGCCGTTTCGTGGCTAAAAGAAAAGCAGGAAGATCAGAACATGATGCAAAAGAGAGTGACTTCTCGAGCTCTTGAACGACATCATAGGCTTTGAGAACAGCAGCAGCAGGGCCAATGGCACCATTGATTTGGTCCCTAATTGCAGAATATCCACATCTTTGCATGGTGATGGGCCTCATTGCAGCTTCCAAAGATGGCAATCTCTGCTTCATGCCTTCCAACCTAGACCCAGTTTCATCAATGGCTGAAGAAAGAGCTTTAGATTTCTCTAGGCTAGCCTTTAACAATTGCTGGGTAGCTTTGAGTTTCTCAAAACTTTCAACATCAGCCATTGCCAAAAGAAGTATCTATCTATCTTTCTCAGAATCCCCAACAATTGACTGAACCTTTTATAGTGCACCAAGAATTTAGAAGAGTGCAGTAAAAAATTCTGTCATGGTTTCTTCTACACTACTCATTTACTTTCCACCAAACTTACCAAATCAGATAAAGAGAATAACCATATTCAAACCAACCCTCACTTGCAAGATAAACACCACATAAGCCTCAACTACCATGTACTGAATTTCCTTGGTTCTAAGACTTACTTGCAAACAAACAAACATAACATCTCAAGGACCCCAACCACCAAATTATATACGTACATATAAAAATGTACAGCTACATACTTAAAAACAATCAGACTGTCTCTTCTAACTTGTGTGGAATTCTGAAACTTTAGTTGTTTCGTACAAATTCTTGTCTGCAAAAGAAAGATTTAGGGCGCTGTCCAAAAATTGTTTGCCCATAATTAACTTCCCAAAAGTCCTCCAAATTTTGTTAGAACATCATTAATATAAGTTTTCGGATGATGAAGGTTATGAACAGCTTATTTTTTGATTTATTTTTTTGGTTTCTTGAAGTAATTGTTTCTTTTGCGTAACTAGACTGCTGGGTGTTGCTTGCTTTTAAGATACTATGAGGTCAATTATAGAGATTATGCGTGCGCCCACCTTCACTTCACCTTTATTCCGGAAGGGGGTACAAAACAATGTCGTAGCAATGGGCAAGGAAGCTCACTAAGGTTTTTCTTTTGGGTCAGCAAACCTTAGGAAGCTCGCTAATGTCTGTTGTGTCTTCTACAAAAAATATAGCCTAAACCCTCACTTAGAAAGCTCCAGTTTGGTTTGCGGATTGAACTTCCTTGGATTAAAATTCCCATGTTTAATCTCACAATATGAAAATAAAGGATGTTTATTCCCATATTTGAAACTGCGGGTAAATGAGGACTAGAGAAAAAATCATTTTTACCCATTCCCATGTTTGATTTGTGCAATATTATTATGAATGAAAAGTTATTTAGATTCCAACAATGCCCTCGATTAGTTTTTCATTTTAACTTCTGGTTTGTGTGAGTTTGATCAAGTTCCTCCAACCTCCAAAAGACTGTTTAGGTTGGGTAGGTAGGGGGGGCGTGGCTGAAGAGCAAATCACTTGGGAATCGAAAAATTAATCCGAAAATCAAACTCCTAGAAATGCAATGGTCTCTGAACTTTGGGCCCATCAAACTTTGTGTGGTCATTAATAAATCTATTAAAATAATGAAGGTCCAGGGAAATATCAATTGACAGCAATCTCTAACACAAAGCTTAATAAAAGAAAATGAGTCGATAAACTTGATATTAAAATATGTGACAGGCGAAACTTGCTGGGGGTATTGATAGCAACAGCTAATACAAATTGAAAACATGAAATGTTAAAATTAACAACAGAAATGTATACAGTGGGCATCACTACAAATTTACTTTGAATATATTGTGGAATTCAGCAATATGTCCTAACTATCCACTTACTGGGAAAAACAAAAAGGGAAAAGAATTCTATAACAGAGGCGATCCTCGGTAAAAACACGAAAATTAAGTGCAAGTGAGTTGAATATAGATAGGCCTCATGCTGCAAGCAGACTAGTACAAACAAAGGTTCAAGCAAAGAATAACAGCTGCAAAATTAGGCTTGATGTCCAATCAGAGGCCGCCCTTCTGTTTCAAGGTGATCTTGTCCCCAAGACTGCGGACAATGCCTTGAGTCTTGCTTCTAATTCTGATGCATCCACTGAGCTTACCATCTACTTGTTTCTCAACACTCACATTCACCAAAGCATCCTCCCCGAAAACACTCTTTGCGTACAGATTGGCAGCGAGGACTCCACATTCTCCTTTCAGTATCGATCTAATGCCCAATTAGCCAGGGATGAGCAGGAATTAACGACCATCAATCATCCGCCCAGAAGGCGTAAAGATTTTAAAAAGAAAATACACTTACTCAATACACTTACTCCTATATGCATGTTACACGTATGTATGCACCTATGGAAAATGTCAATATTGAACTGTATTTTGTTTACGTTATGACATGGTGGCCAAGTTTTTACGTAAAAGTTTGGATTTGTGTAAAGAGAAATAGAAGACATAAATTTCAAATGATTCTCTCTGTCTAGTCATGTCAACATTCAAATTCATAAGATTCCATCTGAATTTAGTTAAACATAAATTGTACTTAAATGAAAAAAATTCATCGATTGTATTTAATGTTTCCTGGTGATGTAAACACTGTTACAAACCTACAGTTTTAAATTTGTCCATCGAAATGGAACATAAGTAAAACTGAGATTGTTTTGTCTCTCAAGAGTGATGCCGCTTCTAAAAGGTCAAACTTACCATCATCCAGGATATCTAATCTCTGATTTGATGGTATCCAATTCCTACACTCTGAATAAAAGAATGAAAGAAAAAGGAGAGAGAGAACTTAAATATAAAAAGGGGTTGAAATCTCAATTTTAACAATTCCAAAACTACACTTCTAACCTTTGATAACCTATACTGCTTCAAATCACCAACTGAAAGATTTCTGAGTCAAAGGTATCCCAAGTGCGACTCATAGGAATAATTGTGCAGAATAGGAAAAAAAACAAGCTCATAATTGTGCAGAATAGGGTTTGCATGCCCAAGGTTATCAAATAAAAAATTCCTTCCCCTGTATGCAACACATAATTTTTTGCAGAGTAATTTTTTGTTTATTCTTTCATATGTACACTTTTAGCATACCTTCAGAACAAGTTATCTAGCCTTCATGAACCACATTATATCAAGGGGGAATGCAAAAATACAGATGTTGCAGTAAATCTTCGAGCAAGAAAAAACAAAAACAGTTGTTGCAATAAATCTTGAGTGCAATACCTGGGATTCTGCCATATCTTCATGTTTCAAACATTTCCTTAAGGCCATATCAGCGAGCTATGTGCCTCATCAACAGAGTGAACACGATTTAAATCTGAGATGGCTGGTGTCTAATTTTCAATTTTTTCTTCAAACAAAGCCAGTTCCAAACTCAAATACTTACAGATTGCAACTGGTGACAAGCATAAAAGTTTGTAAGAAGTTATTAATATAGATCCTCTAATGTAAAGAGTTAGGACAACCTTACGATGAATACTAATGCAGTAGAACATTTTAGATAGAAAATAAAGGTTATCTATATACAAGTACTATAGCCACACTATTCAATGATAATTTAGCAGTTTCTTAATTAAGGTTTTACGTTTCTGTATTCTATTTAGGAGGATGGGGGCAAGGAAGATAATGATAGAAGTGAGCTCACAAGTGTAATTTTTCTGAGGGATGCCAAGGGTCATTAGTCATGACTCACAACTAGTGATCATAAGCCATAAAGGCCAAGACTACAAATCAGAGGCTCTACTTTTGTTTCTTAGAATGGTTAGCCTTTGACTTCATAGTTCCTATGAAAACCTTAGGGTTTGTTGTGATTAACAGAGATATGTTTTCCTTTTTCCCTTTCAAGGAACACACTTCATCACCAGCTAAATATTTCATTTTCTCATTGCACTCTTTATTATGTCAGCGTGTATTAAAGTCAAGACTACTCAGATTTTGTATCAAAGAAGTACAGAAACGTTGAAAAAGATAGAGCTGAGGTTGGCAAAGTAAAGATTCCAAAGATTCAATTATTAGAAACCGGTATGAACTAAAATTAGTAGTTCCGCTATTTTTATACATTTTGAATCTCCATTTATGATCCCCCCCCCACAACCATGGGCTAGAAAGAGCAATAAAAGTTTGGTGAAATTATGTGACAGAGAGATACAAAAAGACAGGTAAGGGATTCCAATCTACAAAACCATTACAATTATATTAAGGCTCTTTTCTCAGCATGTTCTAAAATAGTAGTTTCGCATTGTAATCACAATAAGGGCTTCAAGAAGAAAAGTCTGAAATATCTGTAGAAATTCAAATTTTGCTCTCTTTGATGCCACACCATAACTGCTTTTAGTTTTAGTACAAATTGGTTTACTTAAGAGGGCAATAAGGGAGACGAAAATGTGTACATAACTATCATAAGGGACGACAATGTGAAAACCTTCCAGAGTCAAGTCAAACAAGCCTTAGATTCCTTAACCAAAAGAAAATAGTATATATGCTATCAACCTTAATGCAATTTTATTTTCAAACAAAGATACTTAAGAATCAGGCAACCCTGATTTGTAAACAGATGGTGATTATATCATAGGTGCCTCCAGCTCAACACAGTTACCGCCTATGCAAAGGCCCAACAACTCTATGTCAAGTTACAATAATAGTACTATTAATGAGAGGAAATGGACTTAATAGTTAATTCATCAGACAGACGTGACATAGGAGCTAATAGGAGCCACATACATAGAGAATTTCAATCTTACAACATAAAATGGAAATTTGTCATTATATTCAAGTGAATACAACTTGACATAACTTATTAAACTGCTAACGGATGACACTCCATAAGTACATGGCACAGTGAAAATCATAAATGAGTTCACCAAAACAAGATGTTGCTAAAAGAACAAGATGAAAAAAGGACATGGTAAAAGAAACAATTATGCTCAGACCAAAAAAGAAAAGCAACAATTATGAACTAATTATTTTCATCCTAACCCAGCAATAACTTAAAACTCCTAAAAGCAATTGAATTACAAGTAATGAAACAATCTTCAAACAAATATGATGCAAAAAATGAGTTATGTACAGATCTACCAACCTCCCATGTTCAAGGATCATTTTGGAGATGGTAAGGAGATGTAACATGTATCCCATGGTCTACAGTCAGCAGTATTAAGAATAAGAATATGCATCTGCACATTAACCATATTACTTCAGAACAAGATGCACAAATTAAATATGATAACTTTTTTAAAATAAGAATTCTTCATGCAGAAAGTAAACACCTAACCTTTTGAATGTTTCCATATCATTCCTGATTTGCACATGTAGTGGGCTGATGCAACCCATGAACCAATGTTGTATATGTAATCTCATCTAAACCTACACCTTCACTGGACATATGATCACATATTTCAAAAGCTTCTTCCACCTTCCTTTCTTTGCAAAATCCATTTGTTAAGGCATTATAGGTAACGGCATCTGGGGTAATTCCCATTTTTGCCATCTCGCATAGAAGTTTAGTTGCTTCTTCCATGTTGCCTAGTTTAGAATACCCATCAATCATGACAGTGTAGGTAATCTTATTAGGTTGTATGTTATCTGAAGACATCTCCAGAAAGGCACTCCTTACTTTATCCATTTGACCTAGCTTACAATAACCATGAATCAGTGCAGTGTAACAAACAACATTTGGCAACAACCCATCCTTCCTCATTTCATCCAGAAGGCATTTTGCATCCTCAACATCGCCAATATTGCAGAGTCCATGTATAAGAGAAGAATATGTGCCACAAGATGGTTGAATGCCCTTCTTTTTCATGTCACAACGAAGACCAAGGGCTGCAGTCATATTCCCATCTGTGCAGTATGCTCTGATTAGTGTATTATATACAACTGAATTTAGTTCCACTTCCTTATTCACCAACTTACTGAAGAGATTTTCACCCTCTTTCATTCTTCCAGCTCGACAGTACCCGTCTATCATCACACCATATGTATAGACATTGGGAAAAAGACCACGATTTTCACACTCATCCCAAAGTTTAACCGCATCGTCCACTTTTCCCATATTACATAGGCCATGCATTAGCAAATTATAAGTATAAGTATCTGGTTCAATCCCTTGTTTAGCCATCTCTTCCTTAAGCTTAAAACCTTCCTCCACTTTTCCCTCCTTGCAACAACCCAAGATAAGTGTGTTGTATGAGATTCTATCCAATACCAAACCTCTTTCTAGCATCGGTTTGAGTAGCATAACAACCTCTTGCATGCTACGAGATTCACAAAGTCCATGAACTAGAGCATTTGAGGTCGCTGTGTTGGCTGCAACTCCTTTCTCCCATAGCCTAAACCAAAGCCCAAGTGCCTCAGAATGCTTTCCATCTTTACAGAGCCCACCAACCAATGTGGTAAGCAAGCTATCACTGGGCCTAAAGTTTCTTAATAGCATTTCAGTAGTGAATTTTAGTGCAGAATCAAACCTAGACTTCATGCATAACCAGTGAATAACCGAGAAACAAACAGCTTGGTTTATGGATAAACCACCAGATATAATCTTGTCTAAAACTTGCTCAGCATGATCAAATTGATCACTTCTACAAAACCCCTGCAGTAGAGAATTAAGAGTAACAGAATTGGGAGTTAACCCATTGGATAACATATTATCCCTTATCTTTAGTGCCTCACTAATATTTCCCGTTTTACAATATCCATCAATCAATGTGTTATAGACAACCTCGTTCGGGACAAATCCTCTGTTGCACATTTCCTTCAAAACACAATTTGCATCATAAAACCTCTCCAGCTTTATCAAACCATTAATGAGCACACTATATGTTATAAGAGTCGGGCTCACATTGTTTTCTATCATCTTCTTCTTAAACTGGAAGGCCTCTACTAATCTTCTGCTCTTACAGAGCCCATGAATAATATTATTGTAGGTAACCGCATTAGGGACAATACCCAGCCCCTCCATTTTCGAAAACAAACCTATTGCATCATCAACCTTCCCTCCCTTACAAAATGCATTAATGCCAGTAGTAAACAAGTAAACATCAGGAGAAACACCTCGGCACATAACTTCAAATACATCATAACTCTTATGAAGTTCGTTAGCCTTCACTAAAGAACTCAACAAAAAGTTACAAGTCTTCAATGATGGAAAAACACCCTTTTTAGAAAAAATTACAAACGCATCAATGGCATAACCAAAACCCATATTCTTGAATTGCGTACAGTAAACATGAATCAACAAATCCAATGCCTGAACCCCAAGACCTTGTGTGGACACGATATTCAAGTCTAACATGGCAATGGCAATCTCCATATGCCTTTGATTGGGGTTAGCATATAAAACTGGCACATTCCCATCAATCAAACGGATCAAAAGCAATCTCGCAGGCGACACAAGATTCGAAAGAATAAGCAGGCGAACTAAAACACAAAAGGATCGTACAGTAAACTGAAACTTAAAAGATTCAGAAGCAAAGTAAAAGAAATGAAGAGCTGTTTTGGGGTTCACATTGGAGCTAATGGAACAGAATACCCTATCAAATTCATGAGATGACAGAAGGGGTATCAGAGCTTTACATTTAGAAGAATCCAGAGATGGTTTTGAAAGAATAGAAGATACCCAGTTGTGCAAACTCTGATTGGGAGGCTGTGGTTCCTTCGGAACCTGTAATGGTGGCGGTTGAGGAGGCTCTTTGGGGCGTTGGAGGTTGCAGGTAACGCACGTTAAGGGGCGGTTGATGGGGAAGAGAAGAGTGGGTTTCGAGATTGAAAGCCTTCTAAGATCCATAGGAAAATGCATGTCATTAGTTGTTTTGGGTCTGTGGATTTTGTGGGTTTTATTCAAGGGTTTATGCCATTGCCACTGGCGGAGCCACCATGGGGTCAATGGCAGCCATGAAAATGGGCTTGAAGGTCCCCGTTTGCTGGTTGTGCGACCCCTTAAAGTTGGTCCAGAGAAGGAGAAGGAGCCAGCCGTCGTCGAAGGGTTTTTGTGAGCCTCTTTGTTAGGCCATCAAGTCATTGAGGATTTGTGCTGGGTGAGGAAAATGGAGGGGCTAGATTTGGGTGGGGTAGGTTGTTTTTCTTCTTTTTGTTTTTTTATTTTTTTTAGTAATTTTTAACTTTGAGAGCCTATCCCTATTAAAAATTTATCGAATATTTTAAACATGTTTACTAATATCACTTTATCTAAAATCGTTTTAATTTTATTTTTATCAAACAGCTATTTAGTCGATTCGTACACAAATTCACGTCTGCAAAAGAAAGATTTAGGGCGCTGTCCAAAAATTGTTAGCCCATAATTAACTTCCCAAAAGTCCTCCAAATTTTGTTAGAACATCATTAATATAAGTTTAGGATGATGAAGGTTTGGAACAGGTTTTTTATTTTTTGTTTTTTTTTGGTTTCTTGAAGTAATTATCTATTAGGAATCGAAAAATTAATCCGAAAATAAAACTCCTAGAAACGTAATGGTGTCTGAACTTTGAGCCCATCAAATTTTGTGCGGTCATCATTAATAAATCTATTAAAATAATGAAGGTCCAGGGAAATATCAATTGATAGAAATATCTAACACAAAGCTTATAAAAGAAAATGAGCCGATAAACTTTATATTAAAATATGTGACAGCAACAGCTAATACAAATTGAAAACATGAAGTGTTACAATTAACAGAAGAAATGTATACAGTGGGCATCACTACAAATTTACTCTGAATATATTGTGGATAGCAGCAATGTGTCCTAAATATCCACTTACTGGGAAAAACAAAAAATCAAAAGAATTCTATAACGGATGCGATCCTCGGTAAATGCACGAAAATTAAGTGCAAGTGAGATGAATATAGATAGGCCTCATGCTGCAAGCAGACTAGTACTAACAAAGGTTCAAGCAAAGAATAACAGCTGCAAAATTAGGCTTAGTGTGTCCAATCAGAGGCCGCCCTTCTGTTTCAAGGTGATCTTGTCCCCAAGACTGAGGGCAATGCCTTGAGTCTTGCTTCTAATTCTGATGTATCCACTGAGCTTACCATCTGCTTGTTTCTCAACACTCACATTCACCAAAGCATCCTCCCCAAAAACACTCTTTGCGTACAGATTGGCAGCGAGGACTCCACATTCTCCTTCCAGTGCCAATCTAATGCCCAATTAGCCAGGGACGAGCAGTAATTAATGACCATCAATCATCCCCAAAAGGCGTAAAGAGATTAAAAAGAAAATACACTTACTCCTATATGCATGTTACACGTATTTATGCACCTATGGAAAATGTCAATATTGAACTATATTTTGTTTACATTATGACATGGTGGCTAAGTTTTTACGTCATGTGCGCTACACTAATACACTTCATCAATTAGGTGCACTCTACCAAGCACTCGTAAAGGTGACCAACATGGCACTACCATTGACAACTATGTCAACTTCTTAAATGATTGTTGTAGAAAAATATATCATATGTGTATATGTATATGTTTGTATGCTTGCATGTAAATAGATATGTATGATTCTGTGCATCATGAAAAGAATAATTTATTTCTTCAACATGCAACAGAGTAAACGATAAACATGGTTAATAGAGTCCCAAAACTTACGGTGGAGTCAGGCACTTCATGTTAGTCGCTTTAACAACATGGTTCAGAAATTCCTTCTCGTCCTGAATAACAGTATTTACAGCAACCTGGGGAAAAGAGTGTGTTAATGCATAGTAGAATCCAAATGCATCTACCAAGGAAGAGCAGGGGTGGCAAGAAAGAAATTGTAAACTGACATATAAGACACACATTGCTTGTGGATGAGAACCCAAACAAAAGTCCACAGTAAGGAAATATTATCAAGTTATAAAAAAGAAATCATAATTAAGGACATCTAAGATTCACATTGTCATTTGATGTGAGAAAGAAAACACAGGTCCACAAGCATTAGATATGTAAAGATGATGCATGAGCTAACACCCAAGGATGATTCAGAACCAACACCATCTACAAGAGCATCCTTTATCCAGCAGTAATTAGATAACACAAAAGCAATTACCCAAGTTGCATCATGTATGGTGCAACAACCACACAACGTATCCACTAGCATGAGGCCACTGATATACTACTGAATCTATGCCATTATAAAACTAACAACTATCATTATAACCATAATAACAGCCACAATAATTATTATACTACAGCTTTATTACCAGCACAGCATCATCATAATCATAACCAGAAACATCAAACAATTAAATATCAATGAAGAGGTTCATATAAATGCATGTCTTGTAAGCCATATCTGAACATTGGCATCCGTGAACATAAGCATTACATGATCAATTGATAATCACGTAATTGGGTTCAAAGACATCATATCCTTTTGGGTCATTGTGAAACCATTTCAAAGAAGAAGCACCTAATGATCATATCAATGAAGCACAAAAATAAATTAAATAAAATGCAAAACCATATCAAATTACTGTACCTTGTTCTCCCACTCAAACTCAGCCCACATTGTCCTAAATGACACATCAGCACATGATGCAGGAGAGATGTAATCCATTATATCAATATGAATGTCATTGAGAACAATAACTGTTCTCTCAAGCACATTTGAAGAAGTCTCGTATACAATGTTACCAAATATAACTCCCGTTTCAGTTGAAGAGACCTTAATGTTTGCCTTTATCTGTTTGCTTGATTCCGGAGCTAGGGTACAGTTTTGTGGACGCTCAACAAGTTTCAGATCACCCATTGTGGCCAACTCCAAGCACAAATTCTGAAGGGTTTCCTTGGTTCGATTGATGACGGTAACATCGAGAACAATATCATAATGATTAACTGTTACATAGGCTTCAGCATAAACCGGATCACTGAATCCTGTGAGCTGAAGAATGCGGTTGAGTTTGTTTGCATCATCTTTATCCTTTGTGAATTCTCCAGTAGCACGTTTGAGATCATCCTGAACCGCATCTTCCAACTCAAGTTGGCTCATACCCTGAAAAAAAACAAAATCGTGTACATATAAAAAAAGCATCCAAACTATGTGATGAAAACAATGGTTTTAGCAGTCTATCCGAATTGAGAAAATAAAACCCTAATGCTGCCTTACCTTTCTGCTCTTAAGATGGTAGAAATCAATAAGGTCATCTGGTTGTGCACTCAATATCTGGGCTTTAGCTTTAGTTTCCTCTGTTTCCAGGAGCTGCTTATCTGCAAGCATTTTCACAAAGCTCTGTCTGCACGACTCTAGCCATATCTTCCTTACTTCTTCACCTTTATGGCATAGTAACCTGATGCAAAGAACTATTCTATCTCGAGAATCATTATCAATCGGATGTGGAAGGACCGAGGATTGACCCAATTGAAGCATAGAGACCATGATCAACAATGCCTGTGTAGTTGCCTTGTTCACTTCAGCCTTTGAAGGTTGAATCTCTTCCAATCTCAAAACCAGCTTTGTTAATGTGCAAGCTACAACTGTCTCAAGGAAAAAATCACCCGAGAGAATCAATGATCTCAAGTTCCCCACGGAAGCCAAAGATCCTTGAACCAGGACAGGTGCAGACATAGCAGTTTCCAGTGCTGCAGACTGGGTGGCATAGGTCCCATCCGCAAGAATCACAGGCCTCCTAGAAGACACAGTGGTCGAGCTTACCACCTGAGAATTCTTCGTAGCATCTTGTGCCTCTTTTTCCTCAGAAGCTGTGTAAAATGGGAGATCCCCAAGACACTGCTTAATGGTTGCAATCCCACTCTCAACTTCAGAAAGCGAGAGACAATACTCCCCGATAATCCAGAGGGAATGAGTGCAAACCCTCGAATTGCGGATCTGGTAGAAAGTATCTAGCAGCCTCATTATTATAGAAACACGCAACTTGGGGTTGGTTTCAATGATCTCACGCACAAAAACAGCCACATCTAGGGCCGAAGCAACATTGGTATCGCCCAAGAAATCCATCAAAGGATGCACCACCGTGCTCGCCACCTCAGGAAACTTAACTGCGCATGCATATATTGCTTGCACTAACATCTGCCTATACTCCCCATTCTTCTCAAGCTCCCCACTCTGAGTCTTCACGACCTCCTTCTTCAACATCATCACAACCTGATTAATATTCCTCGGGGTAATCAAATCAAGCACAATATCAAGAGTCTTCCTCCTAATATCAACATTCGGACTTGACAGTGCCCTCAGCACATCCATAACCAACTCAACCATAATCTCCCTATGCGAAGCCTTGAGCTCACTAATCCTATCCAGCAAAATCAACTTCACATTGTTATCGCTCTGCGACAACAACAACTGAGAATAAGTGTTGGCTGCTGCTTTTATGGCCGTAGGTGCTGAAGACAACGACACAAGCGTTCCAGCACACTCATAAACAACGGCACTCGATGGTGCATCCAGCAATGATATAATAATCTTAATGTACTTGGATTTCTCACCCTTATTCACTCTACAGACCTTCTTAATCAATTCCAAGACGACCATTTGGAGCTGTTCACCCCACTCAATAATCCTACCGATATGTGTAAACAAATAATTCACAGCCCTATCTTGCGCGCAATTAAAGAGCATAAGGAAAGCATTTCGCTTACTGGAAGGGTCCTGCTCGGAGGCCAAGAACCGATCGATGATCTCCGGCGCGCTATCCAGCAATGTCTCCCCCTGCGGAAGCCTATACACGAACATGATCGCCAGCACGGCATTTCGTCGAACAAAAGGGTGGCGGTGCTCCAAATTGGCGAGAATCGAAGGGATCAGAGGCTCGATGATCTCGGCCTCGTTCAATCGGCAGAGAAATCGCAGCGTAACGCCTCGGATGTACTCGTTCGGGTGCTGAAGATTGTTGCGGAGGTTCTGGCAGATGAGGATCATCTCCGGGAGGATCTTGCCTTTGGAGTCAGTTTTCTCTACGATCTCAAGGTAGAGGAGGAGGAGCTTCTGGACTGTGTGGTCCTCGGAGGGCAGTACGTATCGGATGATGGTGATGAAGAGCTGGGGAATGGTGTCGCCGTTGAGGAGGAGCATGATGGCCTTCTTGAGGGCTTCGATCTTCAATTCGACGTCGTTTCCTTCTAGGGCTTCTTTGATCT